TCTCTCTCTCTCTCTCTCTCTCTCTCTCTCTCTCTCTCTCTCTCTCTCGGTGTGTGTGTGTGTGTGTGTGTGTACCGCGGGCCTACACTTTCATAGAACGTAAGAAGAAGAAGAAGAAGAAAAAGAAGAAGAAGAAGAAAGAAAAAAAAATAGTACCTGTGTCGCGCTGGCGGGCGGGGCGGCTGGCTTCGCTGCACGACGATGACGACGACGATGACGATGACGACGGCGATGGGCGACGACGGCAGGGGCGTTGGCATGTTGACGGAACAATAGGTGAGTCGGGGGAAGGCGGGAAGGCGCAAGGCGGAAGGGAATGACAGCTCCTCCAAGTTTCGAAAAGGGAGGCCTCATCTGGGCTGTCGATCTTTCGAGATCAGCGGTCCAGAGAGGCAGCCCTTTTTGAAACTTGGAGGCTGGCCTACCGGACCCTTTAGGGCAAGGAGGCCCCCACAACCCGCATGGGGGCCTCCTGGCCCGAAAAAAAATTGAATCGGCCAGATTTCGGCTATGCGCTATAGCCGACCGGGGGGCAACCGGCCCAGTGGACTGAGCGGTCCCACCGGCCTGGTTCCGGTTGGGGGTGGCCTCATTTGGGCTGCCGATCTTTCGAGATCAGCGGTCCAGCGAGGCAGCCCTTTTCGAAACTTGGAGGCTGGCCTACCGGACCTGTTTCAATTTTTTTTAGGGCAAGGAGGCCCCCACAACCCGCGTGGGGACCTCCTGGCCCGAAACAAATTTAAATCGGCCAGATTTCGGCTATGCGCTATAGCCGACCAGGGGGCAACCGGCCCGGTGGACTGGCCGGTCCCAACGACCCAGTTCCAGTTGGGGGTGGACCCCCCGGTGGGACCGGGCTTACAGCCCTGCTTTGGAATGGATTCGCATTATGCGCAAAGATCCCAAACTTGAGAACAATGATTGGGTGGCCATTAGGAATCATCCTCAAGAGATTGGTAACATTATGGATAAATTTTCTAATGGAGACATTCCATTGTAGAGCGGTCCGCCAGGCAAAGCCTCAATCCCGGTGGTTCTCTTACCACCACCAGGATAGAGGCCTTGCGCATGGGCCTTAAAAAAAAAATGTTAGTGTTGGAACTATGTCAGGACCACACAATTCTCCCAAAAAGCCAGGACAAGGATCAGATGGGTACAAAACAACCAGAATTTCAGGATCTAAAAACAAACGATAATTGGCTAGCCTTTAAGCCTAACACACCTATCTCATAACTACCCCTAGATCCAATAAATTGGTGTTCGAGCACACAAAGAAGAAGTAAGAGAATGAATAGATCATATAGGAGAGATCTTTATACTCTAATAGTAACATCAACTTACCGAATGTTGAGTGTGAGAATCAACCTCAAAGATGTGATCTCCCTTTGATGAATGAAACACCTTAATCTTAGTAGAGAGGATTTGAGACAAATCAGGTGGTTCAACATAATGAAATAAAAACCGGTAAAGGTGGTCTCACTTCAATGGCAAACTGAACATCGCTGACTGCCCACAAATGATTGGCTGAGAGATAGATCCTCCCTGGAACAAAAAGGATTAGCGTCATGCTGGTGCAAATTTTATAAGTCTGCTTTCCCAAGTGGACCGATTCTTGAAACCATAGACCATATATGTATGCAATGCCCTAGTACTATCTGGTTTGGAGGTGGTGAGATCGCATCTGGAGTCAATTGATGCGAGAGAACCAGTGCCCAATACTATTGGAATTTGGAATCCTGGGTGTCTGAAAGCTATGAAAAATTTGCACAAAACCTTTTCACCATTGGAAGGAAGGCGGTAATATGGGTCATCTGGCTGAGGAGATGCTATATGAAATGGAGGGATGCAGGCTAGATGGACCCGATTTTATTGATACAGTCAAACAACAGATCCAAGCTGAGATTTCAATAAAATGGGAACGGACAAAAGGAAAAGTACAATTTTTATCTTCACGAACGGAAATTCTCAAACATATCCAAAACTTTACCTGCAGCTGGCTTGGAGGAAACTAGGGGAGGGAATTGGGGAAAGTTTTGTGGGATGGGTCTATGGGAGTGGATGATGAGTTGTGTAGGAACTACAGATTGGTCTTTGAAGACTGGGCGATGGTGGATTCCTCCATTCCAATGCGCTGATTGCTAAAGGTCCAAGATCCCTTTCCTCCTCCTGCTACAGCCATAGTCCCAAGACCCTAGTTTGGAAATTGGATATGACTGAAAGGGTGAAATTTCTCTGTTTTTGCGAAAGTATTTTGGGCTAGGTAATATTGCACGTTCTGGCGCCTAATGGATGAAGAGGCACAAAGCATTGATCATTCCATCAAAAGCTAGGTACTAGCTTACATCCTATTCAGTGAACCCCCCAGTTTCCTCTGGGGTAGTCAATGCTGGCAGGATTTAGAGCATTTTTTTCTTATTGATCTCATATATCATTGTACTAAAGGGGATGTTGGACCCACTTTCCAGCAGGTGAGGCTCTCCACCAATATACTGGAGCGACCGACGCTCGTACGGGAGGACGCTCTTATCACCTTCCCTAGGATTGTAGCCATGGTTATTAAAAAAAAAAAAAAGGATTTATTTCTAGATA